AGGTCCCTAATCTTCGAACAGGAAAGAAAGCAAAGGTGTCTCCCAGTTCGAAAAATCTAAAAATGAAGAAACATTCAAAAAAACACCCTAAAATTGTTCAGAACCAATCATTGGCGAAGGTAAACATTTATTAGTTTCGTTTCTAATTTTTTTATTTAGTTTAGGATGGTAAAATCTGTGTTCTACGTTTTTAGACAATTGTAGATTAATTGTCTTAATTTTGAAGATTATTTGTAGTTGTGATATTTGCCTTTATAGTTTTAGATATTTTGTAGTTTTTTTGTAGTTGTACTGTTAGGTAACTTGTACTATTTGAAGCAGAATTGTAGTTATCTTTCGTTGCTGCCTTTTTGTAGAAAATGCTTTAAATTATATATATTATGTAATCAATTGTAGTTATGTTGTTAAACATGTGTTCTACGTTTTTTAGACAAGTGTAGATTAATTGTCTTAATTTTGAAGATTATTTGTAGTTGTGATGTTCTGCTTTTATAGTTTTAGATATTTTGTAGTTTTTTTGTAGTTATACTGTTAGGTAACTTGTAATATTTGAAGCAGAATTGTAGTTATCTTTTGTTGCTGCCTTTTTGTAGAAAATGTTTTAAATTGTAGATATTATGTAATCATTTGTAGTTATGTTGTAGATAAAATGTAGATAAATTTATCCTTTTTATGCATTTTATTAATGTGAATTAATTTATTATTTGTGCAGAATGAATAGTTTTTTGCCCCACATAATGTTGATTATGGGGTGCTTGGATTCCATACTTTATGTGATCCTAGCATTTCTAGTCAGATTAAAGAGTTTCTATCCTCAAATGGTTTGAATCTTTCAAAAAGACGTGTTTTGGATACTTATTGTCTCTTCCCACCATATGCATGCAAAATCAAGCCATTCATCTTCTAATGAAGTATGAATTGACCAAATCCAATGAATCATATTTTTCTGTACAGTTAAAGGGTGAAACATTAAATTTTGGATTGCGTGAGTTTGCATTAATTACCGGTCTAAGATGTGTTACCCAGGTTACTGATTTTGGTTATAATCCTACTTATGTTAGCAAAATAATGAGCAGTTATTTTCGTAACAAATTAAGAGTGGAGAAGTCTTATTTGAAACAGATAGTAACCACTAGATCCTGGGTAAACGATGAGGATGCGGTGAAGTTGTGCATCCTTTATCTTTTAGAATTTTTCATTTGTCCTTCGGACAAAGATCATGTTTCTTTTGTAGATCACTTTAGGTTCTATTTGGTAGAATCTGGGCAGTATGAGTCATACCCATGGGGTATTAAATCTTTCACCCAGATGATGGAATCTGTTAGGCACAGACTAAATCCGTATGTACATTCTTATCTCATACGGGGATGCTCACTAGCATTGCAAGTATGGCTTTATGAGTGTTGCTCTACTGTCAGCACTGATCTAGCTACAAGGTGTTCTAACTCAATACCTCGCATACTAAGATGGTCAGCTACTAAGAGACAGATTTGGTTAACTGCCTTTGAAGAGAAGATGATAAAGCCTGAGTGGATAAAGGTATAGTTTCTTTTATTACGTTTATACATTTACCTTCAACATATCTACATGTATTCTACATTTTCTACCTTGATCAAACTAATTTATTTTTCCTCATTCAGTTTACCAACATAGTTGAATCTGGAGAAGAGATTGCAGTGCTGATTTTGCCCGACAAAATTGAGTACAAAGTTCAAGAAGGTGAACAAACATCTGAGGTTCCTAATGCTGATCCACGTTGGAACCCAAACAAACAGATGGAGAAGAGGATAAGGAGTCTATTGTTGAGAAGATCAGTAAATTACAAAAAGGAATTGAGCAGGTAATACATATAAACTACAATATATCTACATTTTATCTACAATATATCTACATTTCATAAACTGTCTACCAAATATCTACAAATTTGTAAATTCTTATATATATATTTATATAATTGCATATGTTTTTGCATTGTATGTTAGGACATATTATGAAGTTAACAACTTACTATATTGTAACATGTAGGTTGATAAAAAGCTTGAAGATTTTACGAAATCTATCTTTGTAGAACTTGATAGCCTTCGAGTGTTTATAAATGATTCTGTGCAGTCTGTTTTGCAAATGATAAACATTAGAAATGTGCAAAATGATGCAAAGGTAAGATCTGACTTTTATTTTTATAGCAAAACAATTTAGACAATGAAAAAATATATACAAACTAACATAAAACATTCAGTTTGCTGGCAGTTCAACAAAAACAATGACCAACAAAAAGATTTGAACAATCAGCATTTTCAGTTCAATATTGGGGAACAAGTGCAGGAAAGTACCAGCAAAATAGGTATCTACAAAATACCTACAAAATATCTACAATTTGTGTCAGTGTATAATTAACATATCTACACTTATCCACAAAATATCTACAATTTTGCTACACATATACTACACCTTTCAAGCCACCATTATCTAGTATTATTTACCATTTTTAATTATAAAATAGAACATGTTGAAGGTGCAGTTGGTCAAGAAAATCTTCCAGCACATGGTGATTTATATACACATTTTCAAGTTGCAGTTGATGAAAACAAAGCAGGTATCATACTGTCACTCAGAGATATTTTCTTGTTGTTTATAAATTTTAACATTCTTGTTAAAATTGATATGAATTGTGTTATAGTTACGGAAGATATCAATGCACAGTTCCCAATTCACGGAGTGACAGTAGCAGCTCAGCCAGAACAGGTTATTGAGGAACATGACAATGAAGGTGCAGATGCACAGTATGTGGATCTAGGTGATTCAGAAGGATCAGGAGTTTAGAAGAATAGGGTCACACTAGATGATTTTGAGTTGCCCGACAACTTATCCCAGTTGGTTATGTTTGGCGAGCCCATACAAGATGATGCAACACCTATGCATCCGGGGAGAACAAGGCATCCGGGAAAGTATGCCCGATCACCATTTATCCCTCTATACAGTTCTAGGGGCAGCAGTTCGGTTGGACCTAAAATTTTCTACCTCAAGCACCCTTTTACTACTGTTATTGGTGAAAATGTAGATCCGTATGTTTTAGAAAACTTCAACAAGTGGTTGTACCAGTCTAGCGACAAAGGTTCAAAGAGGTGTAATGCATAATTTGACACTTTCATTTCAGCATTTATCTTTTACATATCTAATTCAATCTACAATTTTTTTTGTAATTTATTTGTTGTTACAGGAGGAAGGCTCCGTTTTCCATAAAGGATAACCAAATTAAGCCTTGGTTAGACCTTGGAGTGGAAAAGGTTGATAAGAAGGAATGGTTCTTTTCGCTGGTTCACCCCGGACAAGTCCTCAATGGCTCGATAAGTATCAAGGAGTCTATTCCCAAGATATGATTTGTAGATATTTTGTCTTCTGTTTTTAGATAATATATGAAGAGGACTTGTAGTATAAAGTGTAGATATTATATAGACATGATTGTAAATGTTGTCTTTCTTGTATGTAGTGTAATTAATATTTAGGTTTCATGTCATGTATCATATTTGAAGATTATTTATAGTATAAATTCTATATGTATTTTGTGGACAGAATAGTTTTATTGATGTATTTACTGTTTGTAGTGTAATTGTAGTTATTTGTAGTTTATATAGAATATTACAAGATTAGTTGTAGTTTAAAATATAGATATAATGTAGACATGATTGTAGATGTTGTGTTACGTGTTTGCCCAGTAACTGTAGGTAAATTGTAGTTATTTTTAGATTAGGTACTTAAACTGTAGGTAAATTGTACATTTACTATAGGTAAATTGTAGGTAAATTTGTTTAAATTGTAGAGTTGTTTTTAGACATCATTGTAGATATTTTTTGTTTCTGTTTTTGTAGTTAATTGTAGTTATAATGTAGGTTTCATGTAGATTATTTGAAGTTGAGTTGATGTTTATATGCCAACTATTTTTGGGTGCAGCACATTAATGTAATAATGTATTACTTGAGGAAAAGAGGCAAGTATAGCCCCAATAACAAGACCAGGTTTACCACAACGGATTGTGTGTTCAAGACCAGGATAGAACAAATTTATGAAAAGTTCATAAATTCACCTCCACAAGAGAAGTATTCAGTTGTTAAACCCCAAGATGTTGTTGCAGAATATATTTTGGGGTATAGACTACTTGCCAATGTTGCATGGGATGAAATTGACTATGTCATCATGCCCGTCAATATTAAAGAAAAATTCCATTGGGTGTTGGTCGTTATCGACATTGCAGACATGCAACTTTATGCGTATGATTCCATGGTCTCTTCACACAACCATCATGTTGTTGAATCCTGTGTCGAAAAGTTTTCTGTTATTATCCCTTTGTATTTGTCATGCACTGGTTTCTATGGGAAACGTAAGGACATTAACTTCATGAATACAAAGGCATACATCGAGAAACCTGTTATCGACCCTCTTAACATTCAATGGATGGTTGCAGAGATTCCACAGCAAAAAGAAGGGTCACTGTAAAAGATCTATTCTCTCTTTCTATGCATTTAATTCTTTTTTTATTTCTAATTATTTGGTAAATATTTAAAAAAAATTGTGTTTCTGCAGTGATTGTGGTGTATTTGTTGCTGCATTTGCGGAGTATGTTAGCCTTGGAGATTTGTCAATTTCCGCAGAAGACCTTTCTGATATTGACCAACATCGTAGACGCTATGGAGCGCTCCTATGGGACTATGCTACAAAGAAGCAAGAAGATGGGTCAATCAGTGAAAGTGAGGTTACATGCAGACTAGCAAGGAGGAAGGGTGCACCTACATTGAATGAGAAAACAAGAGTCCAGAGAAAGAAGAAGTAGTGTCATGTCCATGTAATTTAGTTGATGCTAGTTTGTAGGAGAAGTATAGTACACAACTTTCTGAACATTTCTTTTGTGTTTTTATTGTAGCAGACATTTTGTTTTGTTAATTTCTATCCAGTTTAGTAGTTCACTTGAAAATAACTTGGTGGTTTTATCTCCAGTTATTTAATATTTACAGCACATGTTCTTCATTATCTTAAAAGTAGTTATATTGTTAGAATACAAATTATTTACAAAAAAAACTTCAAATTATCCACAATCTGGAAACACTGAATGTTGAGATTGTATATAATTTTATAGTTGAATATGTATATAATTTGTAGGGAATACCTCCAGTTGTATTTACTTTCTGTATATAACTATCATTTCAAGTTACATTAATTTTTTTTAACTTGTAGTTATATTGTAGATAATAAATATTAACTGCTATGTAAAGAATGTAAAAAATGGAGGTAGATGATTGACACAATACAGAAAAACATGTTAACAAACACAGAAACAAATTGAAGTTAACTATATTATGATCTTTCAAAACTTAAACGATTACACACAAAATTCTGTTAACTTGAACACACTAACAATTATTTTGAAATACTATTCTAACTACACGATATTTATTTATTTTTGGGTGCATTCTTGCAAGATCTTTTGTTATGCCCTTCACCTCCACAGTTGTCACATGACACCTTGTACTTCTTTGACTTTAGTTCATCATATGTTTTGTATCTTTCCTTTTGAGGTCTTCCTGGTTGCCTTTTCTCTCCCGTAGGTGGATTTACTACTTCATCAGATATATGTTGTGGCACATTCCATTCGCTTTTATCAGGAAGGGGATTTACTGGTATTTCATATGTACGCAGCAGGCTCTCCCTTGTGTAATACGGAGAGAAATAGTTTTCATAAGTTTCATTCCTGTGCCTTAGAGCTGCCAAAGCATGCAGACATGGAAGTTCATCAAGTTGGAACTGGTCACAACTACATTTCTTGCTTTCAAGACACACAATGTACCACTTCACACCATCTATCACAGTATGGATATGATCTGTTAAAGCCCTCACCTACAATTACATAACAAACAGAAAGAAAAATATTTACAATCATAAAAATAGATTATCTACAATTTATCTACAATGTATCTATAATTATATCTACAAATTATCTACAATCTACAAATTAACTACAATTTATCTACAATCTGGAAACAATGTATATTAATTAATTAATTTTCTGCACCAAATAAACAGATATTACCCTAAGTTTCTGAGATAATGTACTGGTTTTCTCCAATTCTTTGTTGAATTTGCACCCAAGGTATGTGAAAGTACCCTTTTGCCTTCAATAACTTCTCTTTTGTCCAACGTTCAAGAAGTGTCCTCATATACTCTAATAGATCAAATATTGGCAGCTCGCTTGCCTCTTTTGTTACAGCATTCAACGACTCGGTAATGTTTGATGTCATAGTCCAAGTTCTATTCACCGTTGCATGTACTCTTGGCCATCTATGATAGCCAATATTATAGAGGTATGATTTAACACGTGGGTCTATCCCTTCAATCTTCGACATCCTTTCATTAAATTCATCCAGAGTGTATGATCCTGTTGTAGCAAAGTACAATTCATTTAATTGTAGATGACCCTTCTTGAACTTTGCCCTTATATTTGTCCAAATATGCCACAAGCAAGAGTAGTGTGGCACGCCCGGATAGACAATTGATGTTGCCTTAAGGATACTCTCATTCCTATCTGAAACAACACACATTGAAGTTCTTTCACCATAT